CGCGCATAAATCAACTTTCCGAGTCATAGCTCGATTCCCCCCGCCCCGCTTAAGCTCTTATCAAGTACTCACCCTCCCCCGAAAAAAGGTTTATCAGTTTCGCCGACGCGCAGAAGATCGATGGCTCTCTTACGGCTCGCACGTGTCATTTTTACTTTCGTCCGTTTTCATTGTTTTCCGCGACGTTCTGAACGGCGGCGTTAAAGTCGAGAAAGAGACATTATAGACTGGATAAGACGTCCGTCGTTCGAAACCTTTACCTCGGAGGCGACACGGATTTAGCGTCGCATTCGTACGCGCGCTCGACGGCTCGTTTGTTCAATCTGACCGCGAACAGCCATTAGGCCGTCGCGCGCGTGTTACATGTGACACGAGAGGAAAACCAATTTAAACATCTGTGTAATTAAAGTCAGCGCGCTGATCAAATTCCCGCGGTTGACCGATCTGCGACACGCGTGCAAACTCTCTCCGCGGTGTGTATGATGCGGCCTGCGCACACACGCCCGTTGTTTGCTCTTCTGTGCAATTTCCATGCGATCTGAGCCAACGACGCGACGCATTCCGCAAATACGGTGAATTTGCGCCGTAAAGCAGCGTCGCTTGCCGCGTGTATCATCATAATATGTCGGATGAAGGCTGGATGAAAACTGGGACAACTGGGATTAAAGTAAACAGGACCCGTGCGAGTGCGTAGCGCTTGATAACGCTCGGCTCTGCGAGCCTCAACGATCTCGTTTTTTCCCCACCCAAGTGGAGCGCGATCAACTTGACTGAGAAATTCGTTATAATAGCGTGACGAATTTTCGCGAATATTCGTGTGTACAGTCCGGCTGTTTGTTCATTGTCTCTCGCTTTCGCTTCGTGTTTGATTTGAGTTTCAGAGTCCCTAATCGGTTAATCTAGTTAAGTTTCAAAATATCCCCTTGGAATATGGCAATTGCAACTCGAACGTTAGATTACTCTAACGTTGCCGCACTGAGAGAAAAGTATATGATATTTGGAAGTGTAATGATATAGTAACTAAATTATAGTCGGAAATATCATATTTATAGTAAGTATTACCATAATATCGGTAATAATTACGATATAGGCATAGTATAACCAACCATATAATATTTTTACTAAGAATTATAGTAAGTTAAACTAAAATTATTGTATGGATACAAATCCATAAAATGGTAGGTAAAGTAACTCTTTTATATAGTCAATATTACCAGAATATTTGCTAAATGATGACAGATGTGTAACTATATGAATATTAAATTTCACTAGAACTGAACTATAAACTATATAGTGAGATTATAGTTAATTCAATTTTTCTATCTATATTTTTCTATCAGTGCGCGGTTTCAAGTAACAGTTTGTACAATTAACTTGATTTGTTTGTATATAATAATAATGCGACGAGAGGTGAATCAATGCGATTTATGTTCGAGCGTACTCTACGACTGAAATGACGCTTTGAGAGCGTTTGAAATGTCACGGTTTCGATGTAACGTCCAGCGTCGTCCAGAACCCCAGCGATGAAGGTCATCATCCCTCCAGCCTCCTCGACATCCAGCTGTTGACTCACGTCGATCGCTCCTTGATCATCCCTCATCGAATGCTCCGCTCAATTTACCGCACTTATTTTGTGTAATGGTGATCGTTAAAGTGTTAACGATCTAACGACGTTAACGGTAATTCGACGATTTGGTGGATACTTTAGCGATTTAACGGACCGTATAAGTACACGGTAAATTTTAGTGTTTCGTGTATCCACTCGCGAGCCGCGAATCGCGTGCCAAAAAATCGTAAACAAGAGATCGCGACGTGTTGGCGGGTAAAAATGTAAACATTCCGTCCGGCGCAAACGACGATGCTTCGAAATAAAGTTCTCTCGCGAAAACTCTAATTTTACAAAAAGCACGATAACTGCACGTGCCGAATTCGCAATAATTTCGGCTGATGTTATATATCGTGATCGATCGTGTGTGAAAACTGAATGTAATTTACTGCGACGATCAAAAAATTTATCGCGAACCGAATAAGTAATCAGGAATTTCGCATGTGGAGGCGTAATTCTGATGTATATTTGAACGTTTCGCGTATAACAATGCTTCGCAGGGAAAATAACCTTCATCACGTTGCACGAGAATTCTAATTTCGTAACAGAAGCGATAAATGTACATATGTCGAATTCGCGATAATTTCAACCGAAACAAGTAATCGCGGATTTCGCGTGTGTGGCGTAATTCTGATGCGCATTTTAATATGCTCGAGACAATTAAAGGATCGCGTTGAATAAATGGTTTTACCAGATAATTCTATCGATTCAATTAAATAATAGAAATGCTATTAGATTTACATGAATTTATTAAAAATGAAGAAATTTATATTTATGTTGAGAAACATGAAAGAAAGTATCTTGAAAAAAAGAAGCACTCGATAGTCGGGATAACTATTAAATATTAAAATATGTATATTTAAACGATTCCTTGATTGTCTCGAGCAGTAAATTTCAATGGACGGTATAAACATGTACGTGCAAAATCCAACATGCAAAGAGCTACAAACTACATCGAGAGAAAAAATTATGTTCTCTATTTCATTTCATTTTCAACATCTACATCTTCTTATTGTTTCTCAATAGAAAAATAATAGCAAAATATGTATATATATATATATAAATTTATTATTATTAAGTCATAATATTCACTAAAAAAATATTTTCTTGATAAAGATACTAAACATTCTCTCTCAATGTAGCCAAATCGCATTGATTCCTAAGAAATTATGCAAGGAGCCGTCACCGAAAAATCTCTTTCATTTTAAATATCGTTTCCAATTTTTCTCACTCACCAAACACAGAAGCACGGAGTCGGCCACATTCCGCTACAGATCTGGAACAAAAATACCGTTTCGCCGATTAGATACATGAATCAACGGCTTGACACGCGTATAAATAACGAGAGCGCGTTAAATCTTCGCGATCCTTGTAAATCAACGCGCGCGACTACGTCCCAGTTTTCGATTACGGTTGGTCAAACGAGGCAATACAGGAAAGTCTGCAAACTCACCTTCGAGCCGACTCCACTTGGCCCGAACCGGATCCTCCGGTGCGGCAACTGCATCCATCCTGTGGCCGCAAGTTGTGGTGGATCTGAAACAAAACACAAATTTCTTGACTGGTTACGTGGACAAACGAGAACAGGAATATAAGAGGCCGCGTATATTTTTCCAAGTTAAGAATAAAAAATGGTAGTCACCCTTGAAAAATTCTATGGCGCCGTCACTATCCAAGATGATCCCGACGCGATGATCGTCTCTAATATCATAAGCATAATCATAAGCATAAGAAGTCACGCGAAACGTAATTTCGGAAGACCGGAAATAACGGGGACGCATCGATGTGTTACTCTCACGCCGAAGATTATTGTGATCGCTCGCTCGTTGCGTATCCTGCGTTTTTTATTGTCCCGGAGGTCAGGTGACCTGCAAGCGGCGGCACGTGTTTGAAGACACCGTCGCGCGGTCGATTCACTCATTTAACGTGCTTCGGCTCATGACACATTAATATTATCTATTACTTCATGCTATCTCATTTCCCGTTGACAGTCAAACTGTCAAGTCGCTCGACGAGCTCGGCGATGCATGCTCATATCGATACGGACGATCGGCAAAGGGACAACAATGAGTCCAGAGGATAATCCGATAATCTGATTTATAGCGCTCAATAGCACGATCAAACGCGCTGTCGCAGTGACATTTACAGCAAGCACGCTTCCCGACCTCGCGAGGAAGCGAAAGCGCGAGCCTGCGAGAGCCGCAACCCTCGACGGGCTCGAGGAGAGTACTCACAACGACGCAGGGGTTGAAAGGGTTTTTCGGCTGGCGGCCTGCCGGAGGGTCATTCCGTCTCTTTAAACGCGCGCGCGAGCACCACAAAGCCGGCAGATATCTTTTCGAATTCGCGAGCGCTATTATATCCGAGGGGCGAGAAGGATCTTCGAGGAGGGTCCTTCGGTCCCTCGTCTGAATGCACCGGGCTAGAAGAAGTGGGTGGGACTATTATGCAGCCGACAATACGGCAATCAGCCGCCCCTCCGCCATCTCGGAAGAGATGATATTCTTCGAGTCTTCCGCGAGGCTGATCGCTGACATTTCGCCGCGGCGAAACTCTGTGTGTGTCGCCGCGACGTATAATGGACGTATTTATGAATTGACGTCGCGATGTCGCGCCTTTGCTTATTACGTTTCTTTTATGCGCGTTCACACCTCCTCGCACGCGCGCGCACACGGAACACTCGTAATATGGCGGCGCGATATTTGCACGGTTAGCGCGATGGCAGGCTTTTGTATACACGGGACAGTGGCCGCTCACTGTCGCTCAACGCCCCCACGCGGCTAGCAAACTTGAAACTCTTGACTTTTCTTTATCGCGAAAGGAGGTGATACGAAGCGTGATACGAGGTCTGGACGTGCGCGGCCGGAAATATTTACATCGATTAACAAGTTTTCGAGAACGAAGCCACGGGGAGACGCGCGGATCGATAGAGAGAAATCTTGTTTCTCGGTTTTCTCTCAATAGGAAGCGCTTTAACGAGGAGTTTAGTCGCAGCATATTTTCTTATAAATTTCAAGAGCGGCGGCAGAGAGAGAGGGAGAGAGAGAGAGGGAGAGAGAGAGAGGAAGAGAGAGAGAGAGAGAGAGAGAGAGAGAGAGAGAGAGAGAGAGAGAGAGAGAGAGAGATAAACTCCAACACGTGCTCGATCAAAGAGAGGATTTTATCCCAAAAGTTTTTTTTTTTCCCGGCTAACAAAGGATACTTCACTTTTATCACCTTAATATATTGCACATCGAAACAAACTGGCATTTAACTCTGCTGAAAAAGAAAAAAAAATTTTAATCAACACCGACGTATGAAAAATGATCCTCTTTCTCGTCTGAACAATCGTTTGTAATTTTCTCTCGGTTTCTATAGAAGCCGCTTCAGCTTTTTACCGAGCGTATCCTTTCAGATCTATCCGACAAGGATGTGAAGAAATTCGGCGACGACTGCGGTGTGGACAATGAGTGCAGCTTCGCGGGCTCTTATTGCGAACCGAAAAAGAAAAAGTGCGCCTGCAAGGAGGAATACGAGGCCACGAACCATATCGACAAATGCGGACACGGTAAGTCGTGATGCTTCCCGGGGCACCCTCTACGTAGGATCCCTTCTTTCTTTTCCCTTTACGACCGCGCCTGCAAAATACATGAAGATCTCGAGGGAATCTCGATTCATACGGGGAAAATATTGAGGGAGATAAAGAATGGTTGTTTCTCATTGATGAAATTTTTTCATATACCTGACCTGTGGCTACATTAAAGTTTCGTAAGCGTTGTTAACGAAAGTCAAATGTGACTGCTCGTATGACGTTTCTTACCGCACTCGCATTAAAATATTAAAAGTAAATTATTATCTCTTTCTCTTTTTCTCAATCAAAAATACATGCATGGTTCTATCGACCGCGAATAACCTGCAGAATTTACGGAACTTTCGTTCAATAATCTCCACATACATTGACGGTGCTGAACGTTCGCTAAAAAGAAAAAAAAAAAAACAAAAATCTTTTCAGCGGCAAACGTGAACGAGTCCTGCTTCTTCCACGAGCAATGCGAGGTGCGAGTGAGCCAAACAGAATGTCGCGACGGCCGTTGCATCTGCCTGTTCGAGAAGGTCCCGATGCTGCAGTCCGACGGCACAATAAGCTGCACCAGTAAGGACAGATAAGCTCGACATACCGAATATATGACTTTAATGAAAATTCTATCGTGTCGTCATGCCTCGACGCGACACGGCGAGAATCAAAAGAGGGGAATTAATGAGGTTCCCGCTTTTCTCGCTTCCGAAGCTTGCGCATACCGAGAACATTCCGCACGTGCGAAAAACTGCACCAGCGCGGAAACCTAACCTAACGTGTTAATTAAGAATCATGAGAAGAAGTTCTGAGTTATGAGAAGACTAGTAGTTTGCGCGATTATTAACGCGCGATAAATGAAGGAACTAGAATAGTGCAAGGAGCACAGACGGGTGATTAAATTTCGCTGCTTAAACGAGATTTAAATTTATTGCTTAAAATTACCACGCGAGGATATATTTACATTCAATGTTATATTCATCGCGACTGCTTGTTGCTCGACGCACGTGTGAGATGACATAAAGTTGCGCCATTCCGCTGTGAAAATGGTGGCTCTACTATGGCGAAAGAGAGTTTCGGCACACACAAGGATGCGCCTGAGAAGATGATCGGTGGGTCAGTGAATATCAATTCCAAGGACGCGAAATCGGTTATACTTTTTGACGTTTATGTCCTTCAATTTGAACGGACCGCGAGAAACTGTGCCGTAAGATTAGCTGCTTAGTGATTGTTATTTGTGACTGCATTCTTTTAGATTCTTCATAGACGCAAAAGTATTTACCAATCAGAAGCGAGAATCATTAAGCGCTCACTGATCATTTTGTTCTTCTGAACGCAGCCATTAACTCTCGTGCGGCAATCTCCTCTTTCATTTTAAAAATTCACACGCGCAGAGTGTCGAAAAATATCGGGCTTTCGTTTCTCGACGCGATTGGCGCAATGCCGAGATAACATTTCGTCCTCTTGCTCTTTCTTCGTATTCTTCGTTAAATAATAACCCGCGGTGAGACTCTCTCTCTCTCTCTCTCTCTCCCTCTCTTTCGCTCTCTGTCTCTAAATTGGTCTAAATTGGTTTAATAAAATTCCTAACCAAATTTGCCTAAGAGAGCAAACGCAGACAAAAATGCCTCCACATGGACGAAAAAAGCAATTCAATAGTTCAACCGCGACGTTCCAATCAATCAGAGATCTGCCGCAAATTTGGCAAAAGACTCGCCGTCCACGGGGATTTCGCGGTGTCTCGCTGTGTCCAAATTGAATTAATCTCTGATTTCCGCCCACGCTCCGTGTATTTCCCCCCTCTGCTGATGTTTACGCTCTCTGTTGTTCCGCGCATCGGCGCACATTGAGGCGAACAGCTCTTTTTTCGGTCATTGATGTAAAATTAACAAAACTATTCGATCATTTTAGTACGACTACTCATTTCCTCAATATTTTTGTCTGCTGAACATGAATTTGTCGTCCAAATTTGGCTATAACGTCATAATTAAAAAAAAAATAGAATAATAATAGATTACTGTGGTGTATACCATATTTGACCTGAGTTTTTTTTTTTATTGTGAGAGATGTGATAGTAAATTTGATTAACATATTCATGTTGAACGGCAAAAATAGAGAGATAGAAGGAGAAAGAGAGAAGGAGAGAGAGTAGTATCTTACACATATATCATATTATATTTCTTATATTACACACATATTATATTATGTACATATTATGTACAATGTACTGATTCAAACAGATTCTTCGCCTCATCGCACATCTCTTTCTTTTCGTGTATAATTCTTTGCATCGAACTGGAAACAATAGGATCTGAAGCGATTAACAAATTTCTGAATATGTCTTCATTGTTAGATTTTCGGGATATTCTTCTAGAATGATTTTCCCTGTATTGTTGTTTAAAAGAATATATTTCAACTTTCTAAAAGTAAATCAGTGAAATTCACTGTCAATCAGCGAATATACACTGATTGTCAGTGCTAAGTGTGCCATTGAAAAATTCAGTGGCATATTTAGCACTAACAATCAGTGCATAACTGCTGATTGACAGTGACTTTCACTGATTCACTTTTATAGAGAGTTTCATAGTTAATTTCAAGGATATTTTAGTTTTACAGCCAGAAACTTTAATCTACGAATAATCTACTTTACACGGGATCGTTTGAATCGCTCAAACTAATTTTAATTAAAAATTTTTCGTCAATACGGGACAGATCGGGATGTAAATCTTATATTTTTAGAAACTACACACTTTCCTTAATAAATTGACGTATATTACACAGGTTGTACCATATTGGACCAAAATCTTTCTGTCAGTTTGAAATATTGAATTTCAAATATACTTGAGTTCATAGGTTTAAATACGTTTATTATATATATCCAAATATCATTTCGATATGAGAATAGTATTGACATAAAGCTTAAACCTCCTTGTTTATATTATAAGAACTTCAGCGCTTATTTTTGTTCCTTCTAATCAAGGAGTTCTTTAAAAAAAAGTCTGTGTCGAATTCATCGATCTTCACTATGTGCTCACTTTAGTATTTCTATCCAATTTTTTTAGTATACAATTATCAATTAAAATATGTACGTGTTTTGTAGTTTTTGACAGAGGATAATATGTAGAACAAAAGAATATTTTGAATTTAGAACTTGGAGCAACTTATTTTTTGCGACCAATGACCGATTTTCACTGGATTGTTCGCCCCATTGTGCGGCGATAGAACAGCGTACAGTCGTTCAATTTTTAATCCCGTCGAGGCATGTCGAATTGGATTTCACGAGCGCGACTAGCAGCGCGATGTCTTACACCGAGCCGACGGATTTGTTTCCAGCCGAGGTAAACGAACCGACCAATGTGCAGTACGTAGACCCGGCGATGATCGGCGTTCTCGTTGGCATGGCACTGATGTTCATCATCATCTGCGTCGTTCTTAGGCTCTTCAGCAGGTGAGCGAAGCGCATACGGATTAAGCGTGCCACATCGATACGTATTCGCGCGTACTCAAATGCAGCTGCTGTTTTATTTTTTTTTCCTTTTTCCCCCGATGTATGCATAAATAACGTGTATGTGCGCGTCGCGATGAGATTCACGGATTCGTTTAAGCCGACGCCGGCGCCGGCGCCGATTAAAGCGCTTTCGATCGTGTTTTTCTCGCATGGCAACAGCCGCAAATAATTAAAAGCGCAATTCGAGCTTACACGTGTAGAAATAGAGATATAATAGAATATTTACGGATTTCAATTCAGCCACCCGCTACTCGAGTCCGATATTTTGAACGCGTTGCTATAGTTCCCCCTCCCCCCTCCCCACCTCTTCCCTCGGAAAGTTGTATTGTTGGTGAGCTTCGCGTTAGTTAGAATAATCGCTTGTTTATTCAATGTTTTGTACAATATAGACGTAGTTGAAATTTATCTCGCGCGCTTAAATATCGCGCTATCGCGCGTCATTGCGCGCGTATTTCCGTCGGAGAGGAGATAATCCCGGCGGTTATATTCTAGGGCGCAATTTATGGTTGAAAGAGGGTTCGCGTACAGACTGAATTTTAGATTGACCTCGATTCTACGAAAAATGTCCCGTTGTTTGCGCGTGGATTGCGCTGATATTAGCCATTTACTGCGTCATATATTCGTCGAAAACGCGCGCGACTCAGGGGAATATATTGTGTTCCGCTTGAAAAGGAAGAAGAACGAAATTAAACTGTCGCGAATGACAAATCCTTGGAGCGTAAAAAATCCTTCCTCGAACCGCAACGATTTTCAGATTCCCCCGTCGAGCTTTGAAATACCGACTGAAAGATGCGACTGTAGAGTCTTTTTCAAAGAAAAACTACAGCAAATACACCGTACTGATTCGGGATGAAGGAGATGAAGTAGTTGGTAAAAGAAAAGGAAAAAGAGCGAAATCAAGAATTTAAGTTCTAACGGTGGACGCCCTCTCGTTGTTACATCTTCGAGCCGTGGGCCGGGGAAATTTTTTCGCCGCGTAAGAAGCTCAATTATTGACGTCGCGAGCGCGGGTGGTAAGGGTACTCGCGGGAAATTAAAGTTGAATTTACTTTCGTCTCATGCAACGGTAAAATTGCAGGGCTCGCTGGCGAGAGAATCGCACCATCTTTAACACACCCAACGCGCGCCTCATGAACGTCTCACTACTGAGAGAGAACAAACTCTTACACGCTCAGGAGAGACGCGGCTCGAGAGCGAGCGTACGAGCTCCTTCGAGGCAACCCTCGATGGCGTCCTTAAGGGCCCACTCGCCGAACGCCTCGCAAGGTGCGAAACACTCTCACCACTCACAGCACAGAATGAGCCGTACGGGTTTTTTCATTCACTTACTAAGCAAGCAACTTGTTATACAAAGTTCGAGTATATATATATATATATATATACATATATATATAGAGAGAGAGCAAGTGACTCTTCTGTCTGTTTCGCGATATTCCCGATGCAGTGGTACGGTTCCGTGAAAATCGATGAACTCGGAGAAAGATTCGAATCGACGAGCGCGTACAGCCCCGAACTCTGATCGGAAGCTCAGAATCGATCGACGGTGACAGAAACGCGCATATCCGATTTGGCATTCAAGATCGCGATTTATGGGAAATTTATTGTGCCTTCCCCTCTTGTGATGAAAATGTCCGTCAGTGTCTGCAAATTAATAGCCTGCGCATTGTGCGGGCCACGTTGGAGCAATTTCCACGGCAAATTTCTAATGCACGCGCTGTGAAACGCGGCAATTTGCATACGATCTTTCCTCCCCCCGGCTTAATCGACTTTTTCTGCCAGTCCGAAGGGACTGGCATTTTTCCCCCCCGGGCGCATTTGTTGCAAGGTTCGCGTGTGGTCGCGTAATTTGATTGGATTACCTAAGCAAGCTCCTATCTATTGGGATTTCGCGTACGAAAGACGAGACCTGGAGTGCATCGATTTTCAGAGGACCGCGTATGTGTGATATTACATGCGAGTATCCGTGTGTAGGTAATTATTTACCTACACCTATCCATCTATAATCTATCTCTATCTCGTAGGAGAGCTCTTTTTACGATCCTTAATGCAGAACCCTTCCAAACTTTACGCATGTACAGTCGCCTGCCAAGAGGGTAGTTGTCTATTTTAGCGATATATCGTTAATCGAAGCCGCGTTATCTCTCTCTCTCTCTCTCTCTCTCTCTCTCTCTCTCTCTCTCTGCCTGCATTAGGATGCATCGCCGCAATCGTTTTCGCGAGTAACGTCTCTGATACGACTTGATCTTTCGGTCAAACCTCGAGAATTATTATTAAAATATCGTTGGAAGTATAGATAAACTTGAGAGGTGCATCCGGAAATCGTTACGAATAGAAAGTAAATCTCATTCTAAAGAGGGAAATTAATTTCGATTTCTCGCACATAACAATTTTTGTAATTTAGATTATTTCAATGTTCAAACACGAGTGTCTGTATGTGTGTGTAAATGTTATGTCATTAGTTGTATGTATTTCTGGAGATGTCTCTTTTTTTTTTAATTACAAAAATTTTTTATATTCGCCTGACAAGTTATTCGCCCAAGTTCTCGACTTACAACGCAGCGATGCATCTTGAATTCTGTGCCGGGAAATATTTTTCTACCGAGTTCGACTCTCTTTGCAGTCAACGTTTAAAAGTAGTACATCCTCAAAGATCCCGTCTCTGTGACTATTGTTCTTGACTACACTGCCGAACGAGATGCTCTATTGTAAAAAGTTTTCAACGCGACACGGTTTCTTAAGAGGGTAAAACATTCTTGGGTTCTCTTCGTTAATCCTGTTCCCGTGCGAGATTTATTTTTTTCGAAAACAAATGAAACATCCACAAGCAAGTCGTAACTCGTGACGTTTGCGCAAATCGCAACAATACTTGCCCTCTTGAGAGCACGTCGTAGGACGTTGGATTTAGTAACTTGTGAATTTTACTAGAGAAAGTTGTTGATATAGTTTATTCAAGTTCGTGATTATAGTTGCTTGCTACAGTAAAACATTGTTACTTGCATTCGCACGACGATTCGTTCATAGAGATCATTTCCCATCGATAGTACTAGAATTATATACGGAGAAAACGTCTCGATAAAAAGGAAGCAGATTTAGATGATATTTCCAGAGGGAATAGGAATATTCCGAATTGTGTTAATTGCTTCTCTTCCTAAATTCAGGACAACTTCCAGCACAGCACCTCACTGCCGTGAGAAAGGAACTAAATGCGGATCTGCTCGATCCTTCTTTTTTTCCCGTTTCAATCGAACAGCCACAAAGAGAGAACTCTCCTATTCCCTCTAACGCGAAGTAGAGAGAACCACGACGAGGCATTTTGTGAATTTTCCAAATTCAAATTTACAAAGGTGCACTTGCATTTGTGTGTTCACGTGTTTTCTCACAGCGTTCATGAACACGCCGAGGCAATCACTGAAAGTTGCAATGATCTCATGAAGCGTTTATCGGTCGATCGAACGGTAAGGTTTAAGGACACACCCACCTGTCTCATCTCACACACAGACACGAGAAATCGCGTACCTCTCAGGATCGGTACGGGTAATTTGAATAATGCGCGGTACACGAGCACGGAGTTACCGCGAGTTCCTCTCCGCGTACAGCTTAACTTATTCCGCACAAATTTCTGTCAGGAGGGAATCGCTGCTTCTCTTGACCGCGCATTATTAACCTTACCCCGTTGCCCTTAAAACGAAACATTTGCAAAGTTTACACGCGATGAATATGCATTCGTCCGTAATTCTTGAGGCAGTAAATTAGAAGCGCACAATTTGGCGTACGTTTCAAGGAGCGAAAAAAGTCGCGCGAAAGTCGTTGTAACATTTCCAAGCAACGAGGCGCGCCCGCGTTTCTCATGTTTCGATTCAGGGGTTCGATACTTTTGCTGGGAGGAAGAGAGGAAAAATGAAGTATTTGGCATGCCGCGCGACACACGCATACACACACACACACACACATAGGGTGTAACAGCGACATACAAGTCAGTATCACGGGTTGCTTACCCCTGTTCGGATGATAATGCAGAGGTTGCCGAAAAAGTCACTCGTTGACTTTATTGATAATGATATTTGCAGTGTTCCCAATTATGACAAATGCAACTAACTTTGCACCGTGATCGTTGTGACAATTTACCGACAGGAGCCGAGCCTCATTGAATTAAGAAAGATGTTTAAAAAATGAAACAGAAATAAATATTACGGGGTAAAGCAGAATAAACCAAAGTAATACTTAAAGAGATAAATAATATAACATATTTCCTGGTTTTGCATAATTTCTTAATTGTTTTCTCACGTTGAAAAGTTCGATAGAAATTGAAGATTAGAAAGAACGATGCAAAAATATTTGAAGGTCTTACATACTGTATTTCGTCTGTGTCTCTATAAAATATCGCTTCTGCAAAAGTATAAATATTGGTTGCAATTTAATCGACCGCAACTATCAAGCGACATATTTTCGGTATATTATAGTCTTGTATCTTGGCATCGAAAATAGGATCTATTTTTCGAAATTTTTTGCAGCTCGATAGTTGCGATCGATTAAATTGCAACCAATGTGTATATTGCGTTTGTAGTCTATTCATACTTTTGCAGAAGCGATTGTTTGTAGATACATGGATGAAATATAGTATATAAGACTTTCAAATATTTCTGTATCGTTCTTCCTGATCTCCAATTTCTATCGAATTTTCCACCGTGAGAAAACAATGAAGAAATTACGCGAAACCAGGTAATATGTTGTATCATTTATCTCTTTAAATATTACTCTTATTTATTCCGCTTTATTCCGTAATATTTATTTCTCAGTTCCATTTTCTAAACATCTTTTCAATTCAATGAGGCTCGGCTCCCGTCGGTAAACGGTCGATAAATTGTCACAACGATCACGGTGCAAAGTTAGTTGCATTTGTCATAACTTTTGGCAACACGGCAAATATCATTGTCAACAAAGTCAACGAGTGACTTCTTTTTCGGGAAGCTCTGCATTATCATCCGAATAGGAGCAAGCAACCCGTCATACTGATCGATTGTTGCTGTTACATCCTGTACATACACACACTCACACACTCATATGCGCCTTCACGTTGTGACGATTGACTATTTTGCTCTGACTAATGCGTTTCTTTCGCGCAGGTCTTCATGCTTAAAGTTATTCTGGCTTTTCGTGTCGTGCTGCCGCGCTGTCGCGCCAAAGCACGCGATACTTTAGCAAGAAAATCTCTGTCGCCAGGGTCACGCGCAGGATCGCGACGTGGGAGTCGCGGTAGCAGCGGGAACGCTTCGGCCGTCTCGGTGAAATCTAACAAATCGCCGAATCATACGAACAACGTCACCGACCCGGTCCTGGAGAACGTCACCGTCGAGATTCTCGACGCGAAGACGTAGACAGATCGTCCGAGCGTCGCGACAAACGATCCGATCGGCATTTCCCATTTATCACTAGCTTCGCGCAGCGAACACGCGCCTCAGCGCGCGTGCAAAGATCGCCGTCCTAATAAATCCACAGCTCGCGAATAATTGGCTGTCCGTTTCCCGCTTTTCCGCTCTCGACGCCCGAGAGGAATGTAAATTTTATAACTCTCGCTAATGCAAATATCATCGGTAAATAGCTCGTCCGGTTAAAGAGGCGCCTCCGCCGCCGCCGCCGCCGCCATCGCCGTCGTCGTCGTCATCGCCGCCGCCGCCGCCGCCGCCGCCGCCGCCGACGATGACGGCGACGACGAGTGTCGAGATCTCGACGAGGTCGAAGCATAAATTGTCAGTAATTGGGGTCGCGTAAAATATCTATTGCGCCGCTTTAAAAATATCGAAGCGAGGTGAACATTTGGTCGGATTAATTGCGAGGTGATCTTTCCGGCGCGTGTCCATCTTGCTTCATCATTCAATCTCGCATAGCCGCGATTGGATGCGACTCAACGACCGTATCGCGTCATCGGCCGACACTTCGGACATTTTAAACTAACCTTTCGCGCCAATAAGTCGACGAAACGTTTGATTGATACTCCTTTGTCGCGACTCGTGGCGATCCGATAGGTGTGCTCTTTCAGATTTCGGCTATCTCGATCTATCGAATATAACGAGTCGCTTCAACCCCCCCGCCGACAGATAGATACACGCGAGACGCTTGGGAGCTGCGAAGCCTCCCGGAGAGAAGTCGCTAACAAAAGATACATTATTAGCATACTTTAGCCGATCGCGACGGCAAAGCGACGACACGCGCGAGAACAAACGAGACAGAGACCACTGTGTGTCTCTCTCTCTCTTTCTTTCTCTCTCTCTCTCTCTCTCTCTCTCTCTCTCTCTCTATCTATCTATCTCTCTCTATCTCTCTCTCTCTCTCTCTCTCTCTCTCTCTCTCTCTCTCTCTCTCTCTGCAACGATGCGACTCGGTTGCGTCGTCCGACCACCAACCTTTTCGCCCGTTCGCTTCGTGGTAACTCTTTTTCGATCGTTTCAGGTATTCAAGGCGCACTATGACGCGACTATTGCGAAAAAAAAAAAACTATTGCGATGGACTATATTATCGAGGCTCACCTCTAACGTGTGAACACTTTTCGGACCAAGCGGTCTCGGCACCGCACTCGATCTCGTACTGTTTAACGGGGACGCAGTCGTATGTAACACGCTATTGCTAATCGTCAGTATCGTACAATGTGTAATCAGGGTTGTGTGTGGGGAAGCGAGAAGCGCGCTGAGGAGGTTCGCTGAGGGTATCCCGCGATAGCAGCAGCGAGGAACGACGAGGTGACAATCTTCGCGATGATCTTCGCGTTGAAAGAGAAAGATCGCGACGGAAGGTAGCAGCCGGCAGTTAACCTCCGCCGATTCATTTCCGCCGTGATCGAAAGAAGAACGAAACTAACGACACGATGATCGTTCCCCGCTCGACCCTCAGCTCGACGGCCGACCTCGCGCGCGAGGGCGAGTCACCACGTCGGGGAGCGACGGGCGCGAGGACGATCATTCTCGATGTCGGAGGCGAGTGTATACGCGAATCAGACGCGCAAGCCTTTTTCTCTGAAAGTTTGTTCTCGGCACGAGAGGCGACGCGACGCGCGACGTGCCGCGTCGTCGAGGCGCGAAGGGACGACGATCGCGGGATCAATGATTCAATACATTTACATCGAAAGCGACGCTGCGACTCGATTGCCAACGCGACAGGGACCAGAGGGGAGCGTTTGTTCAAAGTGCCACCTCGGAAGAAGGAGAAGGAGAAGGAGGAGGGAAAGGAGCAGGAGCAAGAGGAGCGCGAGAGGGTGGAAAAGAGAGGGTGGAGACGAGGGCGAATTGCCAGATTCACTAAGACGGTGCCACGCGGCGGCGATTAAGCGCATTCTGACCATACAATCGTAGTGCGTAGTACTTTAAAGATAATCGCATTAATTAATTAGACGGTAATTAATTGGCGCACGACTTGTAGACCGCGGCGAGTTTCCGCGGGACGCATGGAGTCTCCCATTTAGGGGCGGGAGAAGTAGCGCTTGGGCGAGTTTTTCTCCCCGGGATACGCGGCCGGAGAATTTCTCTAGAGTTTCTGTTCTCGCTTATTTCGGACGAGTTTATCATGACGTTCGCGTTAACGTGCGATTATAGCGCGGGGGGAAAAGAGAGCGAGGGACAGTCGTAAAAGAATTTGGAGGCTTTCTCGCTTATTTCGGAGGATTTTATCACGCGGGTGTGTCTGCTTGCGTATTCTATCGGGAAACTTTGGTCGAAAGCGCACCAGGACGCGTGACTCCACGGAGAGAGATCACGACAAATTTTCCGCGAGTTCTTCAGTAGCTTCATTCCAACTGGATTTTTCTCGTTCTAACCGTTCGTTTTAATGCCGCGCGTGTCAGTGAAGGAGCGACCGAGCTTGCTAGCCCGGTAATCACTTCGCGAGTAATGAGACGCGCGACGTTGAGAAATCGCGAGTCGACGACGCTAACGACACGACATCGACAATGCTGAAGTAGCGTGACGCTAGAATTAGACATTACGTTCGGAAACTCTTGCCGCGGCTTTCCCCTCCATTAGCAACGAGATTAGTTGGGAGATTAGTGGTTGAAGACGACAATGCGGATATCGAGAGGCAAGGGAGAAGAGGTAGAGAAAGGCAGGCAGAAATTTCACTCAACTGCTGGGTCGAAACAGTCGTTGCAGAATGCATCTTGGAAAGCTGCAACGACGAGACAACCCTTGTCTCTCGTTATCTCGTTTTCTCCAATCCTTCTGTCCCTTGCAAGACGTAGTCTGCGTTAAATTTTGCATTTCGCGCTCAAGGCGCGTTTTCGCCGCTAGAAATGCTCTCTGTTACTTCGTTAGTCGTAGTGATACGCGCGCCATACGACACCAAAACGACCGGCGAATGTGTGTCAGTAAGTACACCTTATCGCGTGCGTCTATCTGCTAATGCGAGAGATTCGCTAAACCGACTGTCTGGTCTCGCCAGTGGAAGGAGATCTCTGTAGAGTGTAGAGCGAGTGAGGCAGCATTCGCGTCTGTCGCGACACGTCTCCCGAGACACGGACTCGCGCGACTTTATATACGGATACCTTATCAATCGCACAAGAGTACGATATGTCTCGGTATCGAAAGCTTGCAATGTCCCTACCACGGCGAAACCGCGAGGGCGTACGAGCGACGGTAGTCCAAGTACGATTGTATCTCAGCAATTTAGTGCCTGCGCTGTCGCGTTCATAGTGATAGATATCTCTAAATTTATCGAACGAATACTTGCGAGAAAGAAAGAAGAAAGTAAACAGATATATATATATACATATATATATATATATATATAATATATATATACATATATATACGTATAAATAAAAAATATATAAATACGTAGCTGCGATTACCCTCGCGAGCATTGTCGAGATTATTGTTAGCGTTGTATTGTTACCGTCGCTTAACATTAGTTAGCGTCGCTCTACGATTATGATTATTATTATCATTATTATTATTATTGTAATCATTATATTATTATTATTATTATTATCATTACTACTATTGGTACGTCTCATTATACTTGCCAACGCCGTTATATAATTGTTCTCACAGGGAGCGCTGAGCAAACGACTCGCTTAGGTATCACCACCCCGCGCACCTGACAGCCTCTGCGTTTAAAAAATTCGTCATTTTCGCGGCACATGTCTCACGACCACACCCCCGGTGAGTTCACGTTTCCGGATCGACGGAAGAAACATTGCGCACGATCAGTAGTATTATTATTACATATTATTACTATTATCGACACCTTTTTAACGCGCAGAGACGCGCGCGCGCGCGGCGAAGCGAAAGCGTCGCCGTGGCCGCGCGACTTCTCTCCGAGGGATGCGTGCGCGTGTGCATGCGTGAGTTGACAAATTAGCGAGTAAGGTAACAATTAATCAATCGGGTCAATCCGTCAGTCGACGTGGTCGCGGCGCCGACCCGATCCAGCAACGAAATTCGGGGAAGGTTTCCGTTACGGGATCGCGCGGTTCCCCGGCGACGTTGGCGAGTTGACGAGTTCTAGTCTACGGAGACTACGGCGAATCAAACAAAGTTACAACAAAAGGACACTCACGATCTATCGAGATCGCGTAACGATCCACTAACGAATCTAGGACGAATCACGGCCCATCGTGTAGCGCGATGGCGATAGAAGAGGCGAGTGAATCCTTTCTCTCTCGAACTTTAGGATAATACAATTATCATCATTATTCTTATCGTTATTATTATTATTATTATTATTATTATAATATTATTATTATTATCTGTAGGATAGTTTGACGCTTCGACGATGCGGAGGTGTGTGTACTCTAAGTAACATTTTACTCGATAATCACACTTGACGAGTGTATTCATGAGCAAGTTTCGCGCACAGATCTTTCTCTACGCTCTTTAAGCAAAGGAAGGAATCACAGAAAAGGGGAAAAAATAAAAAAAATATATATATCCGAAAGAACACAAGACAAGAGGAGAAAGAGGAGGAGGAGAAGGAGGAGAAAGTAAGACGTTCGGAACAAGCAGAGTGCCTATTCTCTAATCACTCGAAGACATTCGCTCACTTTTTGTAAGTCTCTCTCTATATAACTCTTAACAAGTAAGGAACTCAAGTCACATCCCGCACACTCTACGATCGTTTCTCGGCAGAAGCTCGATGTCGATAGAGATATAACGACGTTTTCTAAAGCGTTTTAGATACTCTTCGTAATATGTCGATATGGTATCCTGCGTACGCAAAGCCGATCCCCTTCGTTACACGTGACGGTAATTCGTTTATACGGCGATGATACGGACGAGCGAGCCGCGCTGTCGGCTCGTCGTCGGAGAATATATAATAATAAAATTTCCTTCTGCGCAACGGACTCGCCGCGCGAGTACGCGGTTCGACGACGCTGCGCGATATCAGCGAGAGTCTCGACTTTAATTGCCCGCACCAGCTCTCCCGAGAGAAAATTACGATTAACTGGTGTTATTATATTCGCTGAACGACCCGTAGACGGGGGAATTAGAATCTCTAGCTGTGTTGTGACTCGCATTCAGAAAAAGAAAAAAAAGGAAAAAGGAAAAAGATAAAAAAAAAATAGAGTTTGCATTGCGCATTATCGCGTGCCAAACCGATTCATTGTATTTATTATCGTTAATCGGCGAATCCGCGACTGTGCCGGTGGCGGTCGCGGTCGTCTCGACGACCAAACCCAATGGCGACTGTAGATTAGGACGCTCGACGAGCTTTCCCTCGTACACTTTCCTGGGGAAATCGTAGCTCACGACGCTAAACGCGGCGAGGAACGGCGCCGTGATCCAAATATGGGGAAGTGTTTGGATCATCGCCCGTTCCTCGAGGACGGACTCGACCTCGAGAACGCCGGGGGATTGTGTTGTTCATCGCGAAGGTTTCGAGCGAAAGACAATCGGGCTGCGCGAGTAATCTACAATTGTTCATTGACCAAATATTCTAGTCGCGATAAGGGAAGCGCTATGTCGAGCATTCGTGTAGACGAGGAATTAGCGGCATTCTATTACGCGCTAAGGCATACGGATATCTTTCCGAATGTCGTCCGAATGTCCTCGTTCGGTTCGCGCGACTCCCGATTCGACTCACAACCGGGATGCCCGAGGTGTCGCGGACGCGCACCAGGAGTCATCGCGACGGAGTCGGCCGACGAGTGGTCGGTCGCACTCGGTGCGAACGACGAGCATTCCGATGACAAGAGTACGCGAGCACGAAAAGAGACAGGAGAAGAAGGGAAGACAGACCTTTTTCGCTCGAGCACATGCGACGCTCCCAACCGCGAATTTCTGATTTCAGTACGACTTGTACGACTTTTGCGTATCTCTTCGCAGACTCAGCACTCAGAATATATCGTCAACCGCGAAAAAGAAATATATATATATATATATATATACTTCTACTTGTACTTATAGAGATATACATATACATACGTATACATATATGATAGATACTAATTACCAATCGCGCAATCGTGTATCTTTAAGCCGACGAAATACCGTCGTTTCTTCTTACATGTAACAGCGATAAGATCTAATCTCTAAGCGCTGAAACTGCTTGCTCCTGAGAGACTATGCGGTACGCGTATCAATATTCTATTATTAAGCTTCTGCGAAAGAAAAAACGCTAAAGTTAAACATATTATAAATATATTAAATATATGCATATATATCCTCTAGTGGTACTCTACGCTTGTATTTACTAAATATATTGTCCACGAGATAGATAGAACAGCACTTCTGTCTGTCTTATCGTCGCTCGAGTAGCAGATCGACGACGGTACTCACGACACATTGTGATCTAATCATAGGATATAGATTTTTAATAATATGCGTTTAAATGACAAAAAAAAAAGAAGAAGAAGATAAAAGACGATGGGTATAATAACGTGAAGACATTAGATGCCGCGTAATTCGCTTCGACCTAAATGTTAATGTGGCGTTTAGCAAAGGATTTACGCGGCGTAAGTTTATGAGTAAACTCTATATATGATTACAACGCTGATTATACTGATAGCCTCTAAGGATACCTTATGTAGCGTCAGACTTTTTAGACCGAAAGAGCCATTTGCGAGATGCATTATAGGTATCGTTGCAAACGACAAAAAATATAAAAAAAAAGATTGGTACCGGCTAATTCGAAAGCGCTAGCATCTGAAATAGTGTTTATCTAGAAGACACTAGGTGATGATTGGGTGCGGGTAAGCAAAAAAGAAAACAGAAAAAAAACAAACACACGTACGCGAGTCCCTCTCTTTCTCCAATCTTCAATATTTTATAAAGTCCGGTATGTGGAAAAACGAAGGTGGATTATATATATATATATATATATAATATATATATATATATATCGTCAAACTATGACCTACATCGTAATTACCTATACTGACTTTATTAGCGGCTTAGCGTACCCCGTAATCTTTATATCATACTTTTCATATTATATAGCTTACGACGATTGATGAGTAATCTATACCAAATGTATCTGAAACTCAATTATATTCTGACTCTTCGAATTCGTTTTAATAAAATCTTAATACACTGTATGCCTGAGAGTCGTAATTATTTCAATTTCCGTTGCAGCGATCATTTCTATTCCCCTTTCCACATGGTTAGGTTAAGTTAGGTTAGGTTAGGTTAGGTTAGGTTGGTAAAAACGGAGGCAAGATTAGAAAAGTTTGAAATTCATCGCGCGTGAAAAACGATATGAAAGACTCAACCGCAAATTTTTCTTATTCCGACAACTCAAATCGAGTGCTGTCAATCGTGGAGAGATAAATAGAAAAGTACAGTCTATAAACTTACCATTAAGATAATCTGTTTTGGCGTTAAGGGGACTGCCGCGTTTCCGTGTCGTCCCGAAATATAGCTGTCTTCGCAATGTAGTCGCAAGTTCTGTACGAGATCTGAAAGACAAAGAAATCATTTTCTCGATTAATCATAACGATCGAGAGGTTACTCGATTCCGATGAATCAAGAATACGGAAATATTCGGCACAGGAGTAACGCGCGAGAATGCGCTGCTCGTCTTCGTATGTTTTTCGTTAAAAATGTAAGAAAAATAAATAATGATAATCACCTTTGACAATGCAAGATGCTCGCACTGCTCGCGATAATCCCAGCACGATAATTACGCACATAAAATATCGTAACTCGTCGCAGTGCTATACGCACTGGTTAATTTAGAAAAGTCGGAAATGGCGCGCGACGCGCAACTCTGCCTCCCCGTCTGCAGTGGCGTCGTAGGCTGTAATGGCTGCCTAAAGGCCTCTATATATATATAGAGAGATTAGGCTAGAAGAATAATCGACTGTGATTGGTCGGTTTTTCTTACGACCCGTTACGCTTACGGGTTTTCTATGCGCAATAGCCTTAACGACGCGTACGTATCGCCGCGCGCTTGTATATGTGTGTTGTTTTGAAGGTCATGCGACTCTCTGCGCGTCGGGCTGCCGCGAGTTTTGTAAGAGTATTATTCCATGTGAATGTATTTACGTACTCTATGACATGATTATAAAATGTAGTCATGCATTTTAACATGATTTAACATATTCCTATATATTGAAAGTCTATTGATTATCGAAGTTTCATCAAGGTCTTATTAAGAGCATGAATGATATGATAAAACTACAATATATTTATAACGATTAACGGGGGTAAGGTCTAGAATGTATAAAATTTAAGGTAGGTTTAAAAAAATTTATAATTTTTTACAAATACTTGTGTATATATATATATATATATGAGAACAAAGATGTAATATTTACAAAGTTATTGCATGAATATACAGAGAGAATTTTATTTATAAGAATTTTTAGCCCGCCAGTCGAGGAACTCGTCGAACTCTGTTTCGTCGCCACTTGACATGTTTTCATCGACATTTTCTTGCTTTCTGTCGGTAGCTTGCACTTGTTCTTTGCGTTTTACAAGATCCATTACCCTTTTACAAATATTAATTTATAAATAATATATTTTTACATAATTTGTGGTTTATTAAATGATTCTCTTTAGAAACATTGGAGATATAAATACCTAGACCAGTGCCTTATTTGCTCCTCAATTTCGTCCAATTGTCTCTCTGTTGTTGCTTCCTCTTGGTCATCTGCAATAATTTGCGCAGATTGTGCAGTCTCTTCCTTAATCGCTTTTTGGAATTTCTCCCATTCTTCCTCTATGGGATCTTTATATTCAACATTACGGACCTAGAGATAAGAAAATAAACATGGAGAAGTATAATAAGAATATTTTGGTTTTGAGTTCATATATAATGTACTCTCTATAATGATAATACTAATAAAATAATATGTCTAAATTTTTTTTTTTTGTAACTTTTGTACTTTTATTTTCATCTACTCTATTTGTTGACATTTGTTGGCCTTACTTTAGCATCCATTATTGGATCGTCAAAAAATCCTTCAGGAAGAACAGATACATTCATATCCTTTACTTTCTCTTTCTCTTTTTCTTTTTCTTCCTCTATTTCTATACTTTGTACATCTGTGATGTTGGCTGTAGAATCTTTGTTTTCTGATTTTTGTATGGCAGAAGAGAGTTCACCATTGACTTGTTTCGTATTATTATCAAAAAAGTCTGCCGGCAAGCTTGACTTAGCTTGCGCCACTGGCTGACTATTGTTTTTTAATATTCCTTTTATTTTTTTATTTACAGAGGTATTTAGAGATGGAGAAGGAGGTCTTTTGAAGGTTGTGGCATTAGAAGATGCCTTTACAGAACTCTCTGGCTCCAATTTGGTCATTTTTGCTAATGCAATATTTTCCTTGTGTATTTTGGAATTTAAGTGAACAGGCCATACAGTTTCATTGCGTACAATCGATTTGCATAAAATGCACATAAGCTGACCTGAATCTGTATACTTGTTTATAAGAGTTAAGGATACTTCTTAAATTATGAAAAATTTTCTAAAAATAGCACTGTATTAACAGTAAACAAAAAACTTTTAATGTTAATGTTGACATTGTCAATAAATAGTACAAAATTATGATTATAAAGTGCAGACATGCTGCAATATAATAATTACAGCTCAAGAACTGCAATAGTTTGAAAATATAAATTATCCTCAAACCACATTATAAAGTTACAAAAAGGATATTTTGCTAATGGCGATTCAATCTTTTTAACTGTACCGAGTTTTTTCTTATGTTCGTTCATCGCCTTACGCAAATCATCTTGCGTTAATTTCCTCTTCAAAGACATTTTTGCACACGCGATTGAAGATACACACAACGAAACGTACTACCACTCAACTTGTAGGTTATGTTTGTTTACGTTTACGGTAGGGTAGGGTAAGCGATACTCGAACGGCGAATCGATGTTCGATTATATTTCTGTTTTTTCCAAGTTTGATTTATTTCATTGATTTTTTTAAATTAATCAGGTTAATCTTTATGCTAATAGACTACTTAATTTGACATTATTCAGAAAAATAACTAGCAAAAAATGTACAAAAGTCTATCTTATGTATTGTTCACGATCGTGCTATTGAAAAGTAAAAGTTTAATTCGTACAGGTTAAAAATTTAAAGTGTTTGACTTACCATTGAAGTTACTTGAAGATACAAGTTGTATTATTTAAAAGTGACGGTTCCGTATGGAAATCGGCAAGATCACATTTTGATTATTTTAACACTGATTATTTGTACAAAAAAGTAAAAAACCCTCATAATTTTGTCATATAATCTCGATTAAGGAAGGTGGCGGCTCGTAGCGGAGGTTTTGGAACTAATGCGAAGTTGCGGGTCTAAACGTAACGGGTAATTTAGCCGAAATATAGATTTATTTTCAGATAATATATAATATTTTTATTTCTTTTTATCTTTATAGAGTTCTTCTATATAATGATGCAATGCATTAAAAAAATGAGTTATTAATAATAATTTTTTAACAGTTACAGTTTTTTTACAGTTTTTAACAGTAAAACAAACTTATTTAAATCTTAATAGTAATAATAAATCGTACAAAATCCTTTTTGTCAGTCTGATATCTGTTTCTATTTGAAATATCCAGAATTATTTACCAATTTATTTGCAATGCTCATTGTAAAACGACTTCATATACTTTGCTAATGTTTCCGCTTCATCTACCGTGACGGCATTGTACAAAGATGCGCGTATTCCACCCACGGATCTGCAAAAAAATTGGCGTCATAAAAATATTATTTTATTTCTATAAAATTACTTTCTTATTATTATAAAATTATAAAACTTAAAAAAACTTGTAACAACAGTCGGAGTGTTAAAATTAATATTTAAACGATTAGCAAGCAAATATATTAATAAATCAGTAAATGAATCGATTCCGTATTACAGTAAATACTTCTTTGCTTTTGTATATATGATTTTAACTATTACGAACACAAAGTATGAACCGTTCCAAAATTTTGTCTTGTCTTTTATTATTACTTTAATAGACTGAAACGGTAAAGGTACAATTGTAATATTCTAACACTGACCTGTGACCCTTTAATTGCAACATGCCACGACTTGCTGCACCAGAAAGAAATTCCTTTTCAAGCTCCTCATCGCCATCTTTTATTTTGAACGGAATATTCATTTTACTACGAGCGTCCAATTTGATGGGACATTTATAGAAACCTCCAGATTTATCGATTACATCGTATATCTTGCCGCTTTTCTTCTGGGCCAAACTTTGCATACCTTCGACTCCACCGTTCCGTTTAATCCATTCAAACACTATACCTACTACATATATTCTGAAACAGTCATTTACAAAATGATATTATTAATAACATTTCTAAGAAAGCACTAATTAAGCACTTATCCTGTATACGAGGAATATTTAGAAATTCAGTGCTTCGCAAAGTTTTTATTTTCGGCTGTATCTTTTGTTATCTTTTATTTTCGTTTTCTCTTTTTCCTTCAATTATGCAATTATGACGTAATCGCCTACACTTACTGAAAAACTGGTGGAGTGTTGTGTAAAGAATTGTCGTTTGCCATGACAGTAAAATTCAATACTGTCGGGCACATATCCATGGCACGACCGATCATATCATCTCGTATAATCACCAAGGTGACTCCAGCCGGACCGATATTTTTCTGGGCACCAGCAAAAATTACAGCAAACTAAAAAAAGACACATGTGGCGACAAAATCAGTAATCTGTGCAGAAACTGCGAATATGCGTCTACAAATAAACAAGTTTACGATATTAGTTCACGATATTAATGACGTCAACGAGATATCGTAATGGCTTTCGAATTTCTCAATATTGTTACAAGCTGATTAAATGATGAGAAATCACACAAGTATACGATGCTGAATTTCTCGATTATAGCCTATCTCTCAATACGGCTTCTATCGACTACATTTTGGTCTCAACTTACCTTAGATATGTCTAGCGGTTTCGTAAGTATATTGGACGACATATCGGCGACCAATGGTACTCCGTTTGTTTCAGGAACGTAATCAAATTCGATACCTGGAAGTATTTGTTTCAACATGCGTTGATTGTGCTGGAGTATCAATAACGATAAAATCCCAAAGACTTTATTTACCGTGGACAGTTTCGTTGGCGCAATAATACACATACGAGGCATTCGGGTCCAAATTCCAAGTGGAAGGGTCTGGAATTTCTGTGTATTTCGTCGTTTTGGGCAGCACCATGTTCACTTTTCCATATTTGGTAGCTTCCTTTGCTGCTTTCGCCGACCATGATCCTAAACAGATATTCCTGTTGGTTATTTCGTTTCGGCAGAAATTCAAAAATCACTTCATTTGTGTTTTTCAGATTTATTTCTCACCAGTCACTAGGTAGTCCGCGGTGCCGGTGTTCATAATGTTCATAGGAATCGCCGCGAAGATTCCGGTGCCGCCTCCTTGCATGAATAGGATCTTGTAGTTGTCGGGCACGTTACTGGAAAAATAGTTATGTTTCGTCCGTAAAATTTTGGACAATTATCTGCAAAGGGTAATCCTTCGTAAATAATTACCAAATTTTGACTAAAGTGAAATCGACTTTGGATTGTAATCGAAGCTTTTAATCACGTTAAAATTGAAACTAATCTAAATCGTACTTTACCACACATTCGGATCTTCTTTTATTTTTTTATTTTCACTCGAGGATACATATATCATAAATTCGGTCATGTGCTTCTAAAGCGACGCAATTTCAATGTTGAATATTTAAAAAGATTGAAACGCGTCGCGTCGGTGCGTCGATGCGAGCAACTTCCAAAATAATTGGCATGTTTACTCACAGGATATCCCGCAGTGTGGCCTGCGCATTATCGATGACGTTTTTAAAGTCATTCGACCGATGACTTAGCTCGAGAATACTGATCCCAGTGTTTCCGTAGGCGAGCAATTCTTTCTGCACATTTTTCAGAACCTACGAATGATAGAACGATCTCTCGGTTAACTGACGTACACTCGTTAGTTCAATGAACGCGATTGACCTGTCTCGCCGTTCGTATCTCTTTAGCACGGTATCGATAGCCGATTCTGAAATACGATGCAATTGCAATTCTTCGATGGCGCAGGGAGCGCAGTTCCGGCACTTTCGTACATTTTACATGAGCGGCAAAGCCGAACGCATTTACATTTGATTACGACAATGGAATACGAGAATCCACGAGATACACGGTGATTTAAATATTCTCGCCAATTTCGAAAGTCGTTCGAAAACGCGACTCGCTCTTGCGTAAATCGCGAGAATATTTTATAAAACGAGCTGCACATTGCACAATAAATTGCACTGTGATAACGACCATTTTTCGTTATCGAGTGTTACAATAATTGTACCAGTTACAATAATTCTACCAGTTACGTCATTCTCTAACGAGCAAGTTGCAAGAAATTGGAAACATGGAAACGCAAATCTATTCGGTAGTGGTTATATGAATTACTTTGGGTGTAATTTGGAACTGTAAATCAAGTACAAATTATTATCGCGAATTATGTAATTCTGTACGGGCAGATATTATAGCGGCGCAGTGAAGAAACTGGTTCCGTGCAAAACGGCGGTTCTGCTGAGCCGCTCGTATCTCGATAGAACAATAATACGTTCTTATAGACGCCTATTAAACCAAATTATGCGCTGGAATGCGCGCAGTCATATGTCCTCGCATGAAAAAAACAGTAAATATTCAATAGAAACGTGTCGAACGTTACTTCTCAAAATGCGTTTGATATCACGATTACCGTACAATATCAATACAATATTAATTTGATGTTAACTTCTTATTTTATCTCCTCCTGGAGATAATTATCGTGCGTTTTGATATTCAATAAAGATCATTACACATTTGTACGCGCAGAGAGTAATAATGTATCTCGCGATTAATTCTAAATATCTCGCGTAAAGTATCGGTGAATTAATTCCCAAAGGAAAATATAACGCATTCTAGACAGATACATTATTATCTGGAATATTATTATGATTTAATTGCAAGAGAAAAGTCGGACGGATTGTAACGAAAATTCTTCAACGTACCTCGTGCGGCAGTTTAGCCGGGCCGGCGCCGAAATTGATCTTCTTATTCTGATCGGTCATGGTGCTTGCGCTCAATCTGACCTAACCAGTGTGGCAGGCGAAGTAAAGCAGACTGAACTGGATGGGAGACACTAACAAGTGGCACTGGACAGCAACGTGTTATCGTAACTTGCTCTCAGTCAGCTGCTCGTGGGGGGTTTTATTACGGATAATTTTGTGTTTTCCGCTTCAACTTTAGTTCGAAAGTTGAATCACGTTACATCACATTCTCCTAGAGATAAACGATACTTGTAAGGATCCGAGCTACACGCGATCGGTACGAAGCGTCTACGTCGAGTGGTCTGTTTGCTTTAATTTTACTAGGCGAATGTGATACAGGACGATTCAAAAACACTTTCGTCAAGGTCTCATGATCAACGTGGAAATATGTACGTGGCGTTCCACAATGCACAAATTTATTCCCGAAGAATCACGTTCATTGTTTGGGAAGCATGTAGAAGAGAGATTGGAACTTTTAAAAAAATATATTCATAAATCTTAAACCAAATTACTTTACACGATAATTATACAAGGCATCGCTATCGGTAAAGTATGTAGGACGTACATAGATAAAGATTATACTTTTGAAATTCCGAGCAACTAGTCATCAGTAATTTGTTAATTGTGATAAGTAATGAGTAATAGATGATAAGTGATATCAGACGGAAATAACATAACATCACGTAGAAAAGAAGAAAACAAATTATTTGTAACTATCTTATCTCTTGTTATTATCAATGCACTTGAAATTCTTTCACTACCACATTTCATCTATTCCTTTGGATTTTAAAAATATGGTCAAGTCTGTGGATAATATCATCTTCTAATATCGTTTAATACCATCCTTAGCTTAGTAAAATAGAATAATATCCCCATAAATAAAAATTCGGGGACTGATCGTTTAAACAAGCAACAAACTTTTGACATCATGTATCTTGGATAATGGAATATTAAACGTTAAGTAAAAATTCTACTATCGAAAGACCACGTCAAGGAATAGTCAAGAAAAGTTAGGAACAAATTATATATCTTAAGATTTTATGTTTATTTTTATAACAGCATGACAAATAGCTTGTTTGAACTCAATTGCTCGTGTTAAACGGACGATTTTCTTTCTCACGCGTGATCATATGTGATTTACAAGATCGCTCGAACAAGTGTTCAATGATCTATCACCAGTGGGCAGCATCGTACAGGCCAACACGAACGGACTAAACACGCTCGTTGGATAATACTCGTAGCATTCCAGTTGATTGCAATCGAAACTCTCTCATCCGATCGCAAAGTCACACAAAGTGCTCAGACGAATCTTTCCTCTATGTAAAATTAATCGAGTTGTCCTCTCTTCTTTCTGAAAAAAAAAATTTATTGAAGTACAATTCTCTCTCTCTCTCTCTCTCTCTCTCTCTCTCTCTCTCTCTCTCTCTCTCTCTCTCTCGGGTATGTTCTCAAAGAACCTGATACTGACATGTTAATTGTGAGCGCAGATAATTGCAGGACTATGTTTTAGAATATACAAAATTGCGAATTCTTGTCGAGGATATTACCGACCAGCAATTTCACTTGACCACAACTGTATCGTTCTCGGTGAGTGTTGCCAATGATCACGTGTCAAAACGCTTTATCGAAAAATTAATTCACGTGAAGGTCACGGGCAGAGATAAGGAGACGATGCGCGAAGGCCTCATAAAAATGAATCACGCCACTATCAGGAGCACGCTTCGAACAGTGGAGAATCAATCGCAATCGTATCCCCGATTAATTCTTGTGGATTTGCGTCTCTTATTTTAGACATCTTTTGAGTGTCTTGCAGACATTCTAAAAGGACTTTTTCTGCCAGCCGAGTTGATCACGCAAGTTTTCCTAACCGATGCAATATTTTGCGGCTGTAACTTAAAACAAGACAGCTACGATCGATTCAATTCTTTCTTTTTTTTTCTCTCTTTTTGAACGAGCCAAGAGATTATGACATCATGAAACATTTTTGCAGCAGTGCAATCCGCTGTAGTCAAAATTGCCGCCTCTCTTCTGTCGAATTTTCAGCTGCTCGCGTTGTCGCGTCCCGCCGGTTTTCAATTTTTCCGCCAACAGGTTGAGCTTCGTCGCGGAACCGCGCGCCTCGTCAAATTTATTGATCGCGTGTGCGAACACCGTCGGCAGGTACGAACACCGTCGCTCTGTGAAAATCAGCCAAGAGCCGGCTATGAACTTGCCAACCAGCACGCATGACCAGAATGGGAGTGGTGACCTTTTGCGTCCTCAAAACGTCAGTCTAACCGGAGACGCTCAAGAGCTCGCTTCGCAGTCGACCATTCGTCAGCAACCGACTTCTTGTTCGTGGATCGTTGGCTTCCGCTCTTGCTTTCACGCTTCTACTCGACGAACGAGACAAAGGTAACCGTTACGCCATGATAGTCCCTCTATGAGACTCACCGAATCGATTTTCTCTCTCGCGTCTCTCCTACGCCACGAAGCGGCCGATTCTCTCGACTAACGAGAGTAAATTTTGCTGGGGAAACCTGTTATCGAGCTAGTCATCAGCATTCAAGGTCCTTAAATTTCTCTGAGCTTCGAACGGAATGGACGACCCTACAAAGCGTGCTTCTACACGAAGAGAGACCGCTTTACTCTCTCTCTCTCTCTCTCTCTCTCTCTCTCTCTCTCTCTCTCTCTCTCTCTCTCTCTCTCTCTCTCTCTCTCTCTCTCTCTCTCTCTCTCTCTCTCTCTCTCTCTCTCTCTCTCTCTCTCTCTCTCTCTCTCTCTCTCTCTCTCTCTCTCTCTCTCTCTCTCTCTCTCTCTTTCTCTCTCTCTCTCTCTCTCTCTCTCTCTCTCTCTCTCTGTCGATGTTATGCCGCATGCGAAGCAATGTCTCCGGCAAGATTTTCTGTCGATAATCTTGCTCAATTGACGTTATTTGCACTTTATCGCACAACCGTAACGTATTAACGGATACTTTCTTTCATTCCTTCGTCAGCTAGTTTGCTTCCACCTTTATTTCAACCTTGCAAGTTTGCGACGAGAGAATAAAATGACACATTGAACCAGACGAATTATATTGTACAATAATGTAATGGATTTTACGAATATAATGAAATATCATTTCTTCGCTCAAGCTAACTTTTCTGCGGGCGTGAGAGAAAAAGCAAATATACGATGTTAAATTCAACAGGTGTACAAATACAATTTGCATAAACTGTAGGAGTGAAGAAAAAAAGAAAAAAGAAATACGAGTTTAGACAGCGAAAGCAAACGTACTATCGGTTTATCGAGATCAGAGATAACCGCGCTATATTCGCAGTACGTATCCACGCATCGAGCACGTGGTGGAGCATAAATGCGCTCGACGAGAAATTATTCATATATTATTGCAATACGCATGAGTTTATTATCTCATCATACGACACGAGTGCAGCGTGTGTAATTCGACCTAGAGGAAAGGGAATGACGCGGCGAGAGAGAGAGAGAGAGAGAGAGAGAGAGAGAGAGAGAGAGAGAGAGAGAGAGAGAGAACGAAACGGAGAAGAAGCGGTCGATAACCGCGGATTTATTTCTAACAGCGTATCTCCATCGATTTCTCTCTTTTCGATCTTTTTTTTCCGAATCATTCCAAATTTTTATCACTGACTATACTATCAGAGTTCAAGATAATATTTTATAAATGAATAATACTGTGTATATATCAAAATCAGCTGCGAATTGCGCTGTTTCTCAAGCGCGTCAAATCTCCATCGTCTGTTCCGTTACGAAGAGAAAGAAGAATATTAAAGCCAATAGGCAGATACAAATAGATATTGTATTTATAGAACTATAGACGAAGATTGGTCCGTCTTGACCTCAGTGTGCAAGCGCTGTCTCAAAATAATTCCGAACGGTTCAAGGATCTCGCCCGCGTTGGATAAGTTGTTCCTCGTCGAGGAATTATTTTCCCAGAAACGGAAAGTTTGTCGCGGCTCCAGAGAGCGTGGATTGCAAGCGCCATGATCCACTCGTCGAAAGAATCGTCGAATCGCTTCAACGTCGCAACGTCTGATTCGAAGCTTCGGCATTCACCTTGCGAAAGTATCACGGACAATGTATAACTCGAGCTTGATAATCGAGAATCGGATTACAGCGACTTGCTGAAGAGTACAGAACACACGGACCTTTATTATTATGAATGAAGACGCGATGGCAGTTGAAGGTCACGCTCCGCAGGGGAATAGCACGCTTGTTGGTATCAGCTGACTTCTTACGGAACACGTGCTCGCGCATGCGCCGAGAGAAACCCGGAGCTCAAACGCCGCGTGAGCGGGAAAGTGCAAAACACGATCACGAAGCCAAGGCGTGCAAGGCGGAGATACCGCCAACATTTCGCTCACGCATGTTACGCGAGCGACTTGATTACTCGGGAACATTGATTACCGCCGAGATACCCGACACTTTGCCGATGAAACTTTATATTCTTGCAGGAAACAGGGATGATTTTAATCGGGCGGAAGTTGAAGTGACGGTTTTTCGGGAAGAATCTCGGGGTAATCTTTCTTTGTAAAACGTTATTGAATTTTTATCTCTGTCATCAGTCTTATTAATACCAAGCTTCATTTAATCTAATTATTAGCCGAATATCAATGTCGTCGTGCTTTATTCATAGCGCTGATTGATTGGATATTCGAAATTGACGATACGCTGACTCGATCGATGTCCTTCCGCGGAATTCGATTCCTCCTTTCGCCAACTGCAAACTTCGCTATTTTCGCTTGAACGTTTTAACAATCTGTCGTATTTATTATAATCTGATTATTATTGAAAGTGATCAAATGTGATCAAACGTTACGATCAGTAGCTACGCTATTGATCACGCATAGTAATCACGCGCCCACGCGTGTGTAATGCAAACGTCCGTGCAGACGGAAGCTTCAGCCGTTTTCAAAGTATAATTTCATTACGGAGCGATCATAATCGAGTATCCTCGAACGCTCTCGAGCGGATATCAGTGCAGACGACTGTTTGAAATGCACGCAATTCTGAGAAGTAACGCGATATCGTTGCTCGTTACTCGCTGAAACAACTAGTAACTCGTTACTTAAGAAGCAGCGAATCGTTAAGCAAGGTCCGTTATTCTTTTCACCGAGCTTCGAGAGTAACGATAAAAACAACGATTATATTCGCCACAGTCGTCCAGGAAATGTAGCTAATGACAGACTTACTAACAAAAAAAATGACGTCACGGGTCGCTACTGAAGAAAAATTATATACTAACGTCGTCACTATTTCGTTACCATTTCCCGTATCAATACACGTTTGCGGTTATCTATCATACAACAAACATATACAATAGAAATTTCACATTCATAAGATTCCACGAGAATCTGCTCGGGACTGCGGTTTTTGTTCTCTTACCGAGCGGCCTGAACGTCGCGCGAAGCTCGAGAAGCGAAACGCGAAATTATCGTGGCACGCCGAGCGACATCGCCGGGTCGGCGCGCTTCTCCTCCGATGATCCTATTTTCGGAGCCCGGGTCGCTTCAGCGTCGTCGAGGAAGCGCCGTCTCGTCGCGATTCTCGCGAGTCCGTCGCACGCACTGCTCTCGTCTGCGATGCGTCGCAGCGACGTCTTCGGCTTCCCACTCCGTTTCCACCAGGTGCTACGGCACCACTTCCGGCTGCCGTCGACGTCGACGACGGCGCGCGGCGTCCGCTACCCGGCTCATTCGCACGCGACGACTGCAGCCGGACGGATCGTCGCGAGTTCACCGTCACTAATACCGGTCTCCCATTTCTTTGCGCAGCCCGCCGAAATGGTTTGGATCACCGCCGACGATAAGGTATCATCACCGTCGCCCAGTCGCGCGATCAATATTTCTCTCCTTGTCTTGTTCCTTTTTTTTCTTTTCGCTCTTTCGTCCTCGCGAGCAGTGATCTCGCGATCTCGGCGAGATCGAGAGTCTCGAAGCTGCGGAAACGCGACGAGTCCGCGACGATCAGGACATTTCCTGCGCCCGCTGCCAGGAGAATCCGACTCGCCGAGGTCGCCGGAGGAGCGCCTTCGACGCTCGGTCTTTCTTTCATTTTGCCCGATGCTTGGTTTTCTTTTTTTTTTGCGTATACACACGCGATGTGCCCGAATGAGTCCACGGAGGGGCGCCGCGCCTTCCAGTTCCGGTTCGCGCGTTTCCGGCCCGGCTGGATCTCTCCCGCATTCTCGCCAAATTGCCGAGTTTCTTCATCTCACGTTGCGTCATCTGCATCTCGTTGGTCTCGCATTTCTCGCGTCATCTTGCGGGGACACTCACTCTCGCCGGGCTGTCGGACGCAAAATTCCCACGAAAATGTTCCGAACCGAAGCTGCAAGGCACCCCAATGACGCCCGCATCGCATCGTAGATCCGTTCGCTTCGTACGTCCAGGACACGCGACGTTCGAAACGCGAAACGAGACGAGACTAAAGTGCCGGGAAGCCTGCAAGGATCGCGTGCGCTGCGAAGGATCTGTGTATGCGTCCAAATGCATCTTCCGCACCTCAGACCTTTGACGGCGGAGGTGGGAAAGAATTTTTGAGCGAACGCGCGTTTCTTTTTCACACGGCTATGCGCGGTGAAAAAAAATGATCAGCGCCGGTGCTTAGCAACAACTTCGTCTAACTTCCGCTGTTCTGTTCTGGGGATTCATAACCTTGAATTGCTCGTTGCGGGAGACTAATCGCGCGCACCGTTTCTTTTCCTCTCTGACTCTCTCCGGACCGTGAAATCGCTTTGTGAGGGTCGGACGAGTCCTCAGGGTATCGCTCTGATCACTTTAGGAGGTGATATCACTCGGAGCCTGTCGCTCTTCTTTTCTTACCGCCGCCGATAAAGGTTTGTCGATACGGTACGGTTCTTTTTAGAGACGTTTCTTCTTACGTTCTTCCTTAGCAATGCTTCCCGTATTATTTTCCACGATTACTTTTGTTTTGCTGTGCGTCTTTCAGAGTGCTGTGAGTCTCTTTCGTTGTCGAAGCGATACATCTTGGTAGTACATAGCAGCACGTACGCTGGTCTGACGTTACGCATATTTATACACTTTGTTACGTTATCTCGCGTCGCGAGCGGCCGCGCTCATTAACGTGACTCAGGCGTTCCCTATTGTCGTGTTAATCGGAAAAGCGACAAACGACAAACGTTAACACAATACCGACGCGCGATGGCCGAATACCGTGGGAACGTGACTGACGTGGTCGCGGCCTCACGAGAATCCCTGATAAGACTTACATTTCTCTTCACGATTGCTCTTCGCGACGCGCGAGGCTGCGAAGGTGCGTCGGCGCGAGCCTCGCGAATGACGGCGAGTGTCATTAACGCCGTCATGACACGGAATTTCGCGCTGCGACTCGCAATTAACGCCACACTTGGCCACGTGCGAGCGCGTGTGTATCAAAGTGATCCCGACGTGACATCGGGGCATCGCGTCGTCTGCAGCAGCTACCGCTGCGGAAACTGCTGGTATCGCAGCCGACGCGAAGATAAACGAGTTTGTATAAACGTCGCGATAAAATCTAACACTCGTATCTGCTCATTAAAGCTCCCGACGGCCGGCGACGATTTTCGCGGGGGAACTTCGACCTCGTGAATAGGGTTGCCAAATCCAACGGTTGAAATTACCGGACACTTCTCCTTCGCTAACAAACCCAAACCGGACTAAACCGGAACAGAAATAATGATCGTGACGTTACGTTAAATACGAAATATGACAGGAATCTCTTTACAATATTAATTTCCAAACAATTTTATAAACAAGATTTGATTGAATAAAATAATAAACCTATTACTTCTTTCATATATATGGAATGATGGATCGGCGGATCATCTGCTAGACGGCTTTTCGTGGCGCTCGATCGTTTGCAGGCGCTTGAAACGGAAGAACGTTGCTAAAATCTGAACTCTCGTTCCGTTGATTGGATATAACTTAAAGACCGAACATATATGACGTCCGGTTTGACTTGTCAACCGGATACTGGACAAGACTTTTGAAAACCTGACAATCCCGGTGAAAACCGGGCAGTTGGCAACCCTACTCATAAATCATACGCGGACGCGCTATTGCGTTCTTTTTTTATCCTTCTAACGCGCTAAGGACACCTGCAATATGGCGCTTGCGTCGCACCGCGATGACTGATCCTCGTGACTGATCCTCTCACGACAAAACCGCAAATGTTTATCTTTTATTTGCGTGCAATATATCTGCTTTATAAGTTTACTTTCCGTATTATTAGATACGCCGAGATTAAATTAATCTCGATTATCGGCGCAGGAAGAATGACGTGTTCGAGATCGTCTGGCGCCTCAGACAGATGGGAAATACTCGTTATCACGGCAATAACGATGCCTCATATTTACATAGTATTTTTAGAGTCTAAAACAGTTGTCTACTGAGTTCGATTAATTGAATTCCGGTCGGTAAAGAAAACGGAAAAAAAGACGCGACTGACGAAGCATGGGAGAGATCATCGATTGTTCCGTTGTGAATCACATCACCGAGAAACGGTTCATCGTAGGATGGAAAAATTTTCGTTGTAGCTTACGAACTTGTAATCTCGAATTTTCTAGGCGCACACGTTAAGCGCCTTATCGTTGTTAAGGGAGAAATTTGATATGTGGAAGGACGTTTTCAAGGCTATCTCTACGAATTTTTTTTAACAGAAACGATAGGATCAATGGACTTGAAATTTGCACAGTATATTCATTAATGTGTTCAAAGTATAAAATAAATTTTATTGAATCACAAGAACCGATCCAATTATTTTTTAATTACAAATCAAAATTATAGATCAAAATCCAGTCATCCGTTTGCGAGCTCTATCCGTTTGCTGTCGACATAATTCCGGGCCTCTCACTACTCTGAAACCGACAAGGAATGAGAAAGATTTTTAAAATACACGATTGCCATTTTGCCTGTGTTAAAATGAAGGCAGTGAAGCCAAGTTTGGAAAAATAATAACTGTACAAAAAGAAACTGTATCGAAGATGAAACGTTTTTCAACTTGTAATCATGTGTTTAAAAAAAAAGTGAATAAAATAAAATATAACTGCGTTCGAAGTGGGGACAAAAATTACACGTCTACTGTATATTGCGTAAAAATTTCAAGTTATTCGTTTGAGTAGTTTTTGCGTAATCGTGTCGACGGTTCAAGGGAATGGTGTTTCCAGATAAGGGCGTTTAAAGTCTCGCGTGTACTTTCCATACAGATAGTAACAAATTTATTTTACACTTTGAACATTAGCGAATGTACTGTAAAAATTTCAAGTCTCTTGATCCTTTTCTGTTTCTGTTAAAAAAAAATTCGTAAAAGTAGCCTTGAAAACGGCCTGCTCCGCATGTAACTCCCCCCTTAAATTCATCTCTCGCCGCGATATGCGATAAATACGCTCAACGTGGCCCACCCGTTTCACCTCGCCATCCATCCATCCGCGACCTGTCGATTTTTCACGCTCATTGTCCACATTAATTATCCTACGACTATGAGACGCGTTTATTTTCGTTACTTTTCACACTGCAGCTGCACACTCGCGGCCGATAATAGCCGGCGGCCTCGGAATTAGAAGTGCGCGCGCTTATGCGGTCGCTATTTTCGCTGTTCGCACGTCGCACGTCTTGCTCGCGCGATAATTTACGATGAGGTCAAGGATTGCAAACGCGATCTCGCGTCGAGAAAAATTTTCTCTCGGCGATCGGCGGCCGATTCTGCCCCGTGTTTGATCTCGCCCCTTTCGTTTCTTTCTCCAAGAGCCACGCTGGCGCGCGTCGTGCATGCTGGTGGATTTCTCACCGCGTTGTATCGTAGTTTGTTGCTGTTGTTGGATGTTGTTGCGTGGTCTTCGCTTTCTTGGCTGATCATCAATGCGATCGCCGTGTAATTCGATCGAATTGGCCCGCGCACGGAGTCAACGGCGCGTCGCCGGGCGCCGCGGGTGCCGTTAATTCGATGTCAATTACGCGATCGCAATATTATTGCGTTCTCCGCTGATCCGCCGCGGTGACTGCCGTAGATGGCCGGCCAGCCGAACACCCAGGCGTTGTACGCCCAAAGCCAACTGGACCACATGTGCGCCCTGGACATCGGCAGCCGCGCGTCCTTCGTCCGCTTGTCCGGCATCATCTGCACGATCGGCCCCGCGTCCAGGTCCGTGGAGACCCTGGAGAAGATGATCGAGACGGGCATGAACATCGCTCGCATGAACTTCTCGCACGGCACCCACGAGTATCACGCCGAGACGATCGCCAACGTGCGCCAGGCGCAGAAGAACCTGACCGGCCGCGCCAGCATCAACATCCCCGTCGCCATCGCCTTGGACACCAAGGGCCCCGAGATCCGCACCGGACTTCTGGAGGGCGTAAGTGGCGATACTCGCAGCGCGCTCGTCGAAGTTGAACGAGTTGAACTCGGGACTGTGATCGCGCATTGTCTTTGCAGGGCGGCTCGGCCGAGGTGGAGTTGGTGAAAGGTCAGATCTTCAAGCTGTCGACCGACAAAGCGTACACGGAGAAGGGAAACGCCCAGCTTGTCTACGTTGACTACGAGAACATCACGAAGGTGTTGAAGCCCGGCAACCGCGTGTTCGTCGACGACGGTTTAATCTCTCTCATCGTCACCGCTGTCAGTGAGTTCCGCAGTCCAAGTCGTTCGGTGACAGAAGTCGACTCTCGTACTGATAAGTAGTAGAAGCGAATGAGGAAGAGCAAGGTCGCAGATGCGGTTTGTTGCTTGCTCGATTCCAATCAGCTTGCTGTCGCTTGCCATTTTCTTGCCGAAAATGGTATATTTCTTGATTCGAGATATACTCGAGAACTGGGGGGAACCACGGTGATAATTTAGGATTTGCTCCTCAGGTTCCAATTTGGTTTCGACGACCATCGAGAACGGCGGTATGTTGGGCTCCCGCAAGGGCGTGAATTTGCCGGGGGTGCCGGTGGACCTGCCGGCGGTGTCCGAGAAGGACAAGTCTGACCTTCTGTTCGGGGTCGAGCAGGAGGTCGACATGATATTCGCCTCCTTTATCCGCAACGCCGCGGCGTTGACGGAAATCCGCGCGATCCTCGGCGAGAAGGGCAAGAACATCAAGATCATATCGAAGATAGAGAATCAGCAGGGCATGACGAATCTCGACGAGATCATCGAGGCGTCCGATGGTATCATGGTAGCGCGCGGCGATCTGGGAATTGAGATACCGCCGGAGAAGGTGTTCCTGGCGCAAAAGTCCATGATCAGCAGGTGCAACAAGGTCGGCAAGCCTGTGATCTGCGCCACGCAGATGCTGGAGTCCATGGTGAAGAAACCGCGCGCCACCAGGGCCGAGACGTCCGACGTCGCCAATGCCATTCTCGATGGCGCTGACTGCGTCATGTTGTCAGGTAATTTATCAGGAAAATCGAGAGTAATTGAAGAGAGAGAGAGAGAGAGGGAAGAAGGTAGAGAAAAATAAAGACAAGATGACGCTGAAAGTAGCATTTCGGCGTCGTAGAGCTGATAGAAAACGAGGCAAATTAAATTGCAAGATGTATGAACATTCGTTTCTTCGGCTCGGAGATTTCTATCGTAATTCTGTCTTTCTTTGCGAATGCATTCAGCAACTTTGTGCAATCTGCGCTTCCAGGTGAAACCGCGAAAGGGGACTACCCGCTGGAGTGCGTTCGCACAATGGCCAACATCTGCAAGGAAGCGGAGGCGGCGATTTGGCAGATGCAAATCTTCCACGATCTGTCGAGCAAAGCACTGCCGCCCATCGACGCCACGCACGCCGTCGCCGTCGCCTCTGTGGAGGCGTCTGTCAAATGCTTGGCCACCGCCATCATCGTCATCACAACGTCCGGCCGGTCAGCGCACTTGATCGCAAAGTACAGGCCGCGTTGTCCGATCATCGCGGTCACCAGGTTCCATCAAGTCGCCCGGCAGGCGCACTTGTACCGCGGAATATTGCCGTTGTATTACGACGGTAACTATACCTCATTAAAGAGACTGATTAAATATTTGTTTTTCACACTGGCAACAGCTTGGATATCTAAAAACCAAAGAATCAAATTTGTATCCCTTAATATCCGGCTGATTTGCAAAGCATTCTCACTCTTCTTCTTTATTTTCACTTCTACGAGTGTTTTTTCTTCGTAGAAAGGATATTAGGATATACCGGGTGTTTCAGCCCCACCCGGGTCACCCGATTTTTTCGTTAACGCGATATTTTAGAGAAAAATATTTCAGACAAAAGTTGTATTTACTTGATACTTTTTTATTTACCTAATTTTTAACCCATTTTTTTACTTACCTAATATTTTTTTAGATATTTAAGGGAAACTTGATAACTTTTTTCAATATTTGACTCACGATATCTCGCTAACTATTTGTCAGAAGAAAAAGTGATACTAGACTTTTTTGCTCTATTTAGTCTCAAGAATATACGGTTCCAATAGCGCCCTGAATTTGGTTGAGTTTGATGATTTTGAAATTTCCAAAAATCAGCAAGTTAACAAAAGTCAGGACGCTATTGCAAAAATATATTCTTGAGACTAAATAGAGCAAAAAAGTCTAGTACCACTTTTTCTTCTAGCAAACGTTTAGCGAGATATCGTGAGTTAAATATTGAAAAAGTCATCAAGTTTTCCTTAAATATCTCAAAATATATTAGGTAAATAAAAAAATGTTTCCAACAAAGATTACTCAAATTAATTGCTAGAAAAAGATGATGCAATAAAAAGTTGGGGTATCCATTTAAGATTTTTATGTTGATCTTGACTGGACTATTCAACGTTATCCCAAGGTCAAATTCATAGCGTTAGTAAACAGATCCTTTGAAGCCCTACAACTTTTGTCTGAAATATTTTTCTCTAAAGTGTCGCGTTGACGAAAAAATCGGGTGACCCGGGTGGTCTGAAACATCCGGTACATTGTTAGGAGTGCGCTGTGTGATAAAGTCATCGGTTTTACCCACACACAGAGTCACCGCTGGCCGACTGGGTGAAGGACGTGGACACGCGCGTGCAATACGGATTGAACTTTGGCAAGAGTCGCGGCTTCATCAAGACTGGTGACTCGGTCATAGTCGTGACAGGATGGAGACAAGGCTCCGGCTTTACGAATACACTCCGCATCGTGTACGTAGAACGAGAATTGCTTCGAGAACAAGTCGCTACTGAGATTTACAGCGACAGCGACTCCTACGATGATCTCCTTTGAGCACGAAACAACCCTTCCGCACCTCCTGTTATCTCCTGACTTCCTGACTCGCTATATGACAACAATTTATATACTACGAATTACTGATACCACCAATGCTGTGTTAACGTTCATTAGAATTAAACGAAGCTTCTTGGAATGTTGAGTCTTAAATGTACGAAGAGCGAGATGACTGATATCGCTTGTGCGCTTGTCTGTGTTGCAGCGTACTCTTGAGTCTTGAGAATTTAATCGCGAAGTCGATCCAAGTATAGTTATCTGTGTTCATAGTATCGCTAACATCGCGGTTCTGATGGTAATATGACCGCTCAGCTAATTGATATTTTTGTTTATTTTCAGGACTGTCGACTGAACGCATTATAATTGGTCTATCATAAGCAACACGATTCTCATGTGCGCTCGAACGTGTATGTAACTGTATATTATCCTCCTGCAAGTTCCAATGAATACAATTATGCGAGACTATTTAATCAGTAGCCCCAGTATTACGTGTCACCATTGAGACACACGAGTGCGGCATACAGAGAATTAAAAAAAAAGAAAAAAGATTTAAAAACATTTGTGTACACGCATAAGCAGTATGCGATAGAATGATTTCGTCGTGTTTTACAAACGAGTTACGAAAGCAACATCTAAATTATTAGCGTGAGGCAACTGACCGAGCGTTGAATCTTCAAGTTTCTATGTAGAGTATGTGAGAATAAAGACGTTTATTTTACATTAATCAACGTGTCGTCGTAATGATGTAATTCATGCAACTAAAAATCCGTGTAACTCTATCACTATCAAATTTCTACGATCAAATTTGTTTCTCGCATCATTACGCGAATTTCTTTTTTAACCTTTGTGAATGAAATCCTTAGAACTCAGGATCACGAGTACATTCGAGTAACAAGCGTTTTATCGTAGACTGCTGTAAGAAATAGGTCGGAATTCGTGGTGCACGATGTTGAAGTATGCGCAACTTTGTGCTTTGTGCGATGAAAACTCTCGACACTCTCTACATATGTCTGATATATTTATACGCTACATGTGTTCTGATATATTTATACGCTAATACATGGCGAGTATATATATATATATACCGTGTTTCGTAATTATACACGTGATCAGATATCATGATAAGAGCGCACATGATCAGCACGAACGCATACAGCGTGAAATTCCAAGTTGAAGAACGGCGTTTGTTTCACGTCGCTACGTCGATTTTTCATCGAGTTATGGACGCTCGAAGAACCGAGAGCTACGAAGGAGCGACGTGCCGCCTTCTGTCGGCAACACCGGGCGGCGCACGCCTGGGTACATTGTAACACATCAGCAACTCGGCCTGACACCTGTCGCGGCGAAGACGGCGGCGCGTTGGACTAGAAAGGGAGCGGCGCACAACATTGTGGCGCGCCGCAGCCCCCATCAAAGGAAACGCCGCCGCTCCTCGATATCTCGGCGTGGAAAAGTCGTAGCGACGTAGGACAAAGTGCATTCGAAAGACGAAACCGTCCCGCTTCCGACGAGAGGGCGGTTGTTTCGCTGTATTATTGATTAATTTCGTGCTACATCTACGATTAAAAACGATTAAAAGAAAACTTCGATCTTGATTGGAACGAGTTGGATGTAAAGCAAGAAAGCAAAACGAGTCGCGTTTTAGAGTTGTAAACTTTCGTTCGTTATAGAATACGAGTAGATTATAATTGAGAATTCACAAGTTGCTCCCGGAGTTGCGAAATTAACCGTCGAACAAAAGTTGTACCTTTATGTTGTGGCTTATAATGTATTGTATTACAAATTATGAAATATCAATTTCGAAAAAGAAAGAGGTACTGAATCATCTCAGATTCCTTTCTCCCGATTCAAAAAGTTGTGTTTTATATTTGCGATTATCTTGCACCTTAAAGAACAACGTCAAATATTGGATGCATCATTTTGATTGATTGGTTGAGGATTGTTTTCTAACGAGACACCGTAGACATTTTATTTTAAAAATCTTAAAAAAGGAAGCTTGCGGCAAAGCTTATCGCCACTGCAACGACATCAAAGATGTGAATTAAAAATGCCGATCAAACAACACGGATAATAAATAACGCAGAACTCGAACGCAGAAATTAATTCGCGAATAATTAAGGATTACAATTAACTGAAATTGCAATTCAATTGAGAATTAAATTTAACGCTATAAAGATGAAACGAAGAATTAGAACGAATGTTGAATTTGCGCGAAACTCTTGCCTTTATTATCGCTAATATTATTTCCAACTGTATCCAGCCGAAAATAATAACGTGGCATTCATTAAGCAACGACTCGCCTGCGATTAAAACACTTTGCTGAAACCGTTCGCTGCTTCATACTCCCGCAATTGCACCGTTCACCAAGGAAACGGACGAGCGTGTTAGACTGACGGAGAGCATCTTTGCTTGGTCGCAACTACGCTAACAGGCGACAGTAATTCTCATCCTGATGGTATCGCGGACATCGTTAGCTCGGGCCGCAAACACGGCACACTCGAACGTGTCGCACGAGGAAGACAAGTGGCGTGCAATCATCGAGCAATCTACGAGGGATGCTGGAAATAGGATGTGCAGATCGACGTGCGTGGTTCATCTTCTCGGCGAGCGGGTGACCCCGAATGAAACTGAGACACGAGGTGGAGAACATCCTGCGCCACTGAGAGACCTCTGATACGAGTATGATCAATTCTCAACTTCCGATTAAATTTAACCGATGTAACCGCCGCCACCGACTACGAGCTCGGCCCGGCTCGGCGATTGAGCCGCGAAATTGAAAGCGCGACAAATCGAGGTTCGTTCACAGATTCAACCCCCGTAACGAAGTTTCATCGTCCCGCTGAATCTGAAAGTTCACTCGACGCCATGTTCGCACGCCGCCTGAAATCGCTCGCAATTTATACGTTCACTCGGCATTCCGAGCTTCTCGATCATTTAACCGAGAAGATGAAGAGCCGAAGAACTTGTCAATTAAGAAACTCTCCGTCGCAAGTTCTCCGTCGATTAACGACTGGAGAATTCGCCTGGCGTTTCACTCGGCCGCGATGACTCGGCCGAATCACCGCGGCCGAAGCGGCACTTTTGCAGGCACTTGCGGCTAGATCGATCGAGTGCAGGCGTCAGCACTCGTATCGGAAGAGCTTTTCATCAACGAATGTAAACGCATTGACGCATTCTCGGGGCGTATCGAGCGGACGTTTATGGTCACGCACGGACATATGGCATAATAATGCGGAACGAGACCGCGTCTATTCTCTCCGCCGCGCTGTGTTTTATCACTTGGTGATTAGGTGTGCGGCGGCGGCGGCGAGTACAGGACAAAGTTTGTATAATGTGCGATAAAGTCGATCGTGAAGGGCGCGATTCCCGGGGCGGAGAATCGCGGCCGGCGGCATTCAGCGGCCGGCGTTATCAGCGTCGCCCCGACGAATCGACCCTTTCTCCGAGAGCCGCTCAATTTCTGTCCTCGTCCTCTTCGCCGGTCCGCGAGGTCTCATGATCTCCACGCGACTTCGCGAGGAAAAATCTCGCCGCCGCGCCGCCTTGCTATCCCTTTTTGCGTCACCGCGAGACCTCGAGTCGCGCCCCTGTGTGACGTGAAAACCCGTCGCGAACGCGACGTTGACGTTAGCCCGCTTTCATCTGCGAGAGTTATTTCCTCAATATTTATAATACATTGCGTCGTTGCTTATTCGTTACTTTTAACAGCCTCGGGCTGGGTCTTGACGAAGGGAAGCGGCATTTCAACAACTCCATATCTTCCGTTCCGACGAGTTCCCACGAGTAAAACGAATTTCGGCTGCAGCTTCACCTTCACTCGCCATTGAGTTACGCAATTCATCGCAAAGGGTTGCCCCACCCGCTGGAATTCCGATAAAAAGACCCAAGTGCCTCATACGTCGCGTGTAATCCGAGAAGAAAAGGAAGCGATCATCACGAGCGCTCTGTCCGTCGCCTGTTCGAATCTCGAGGGCTTTCGACATCGTGCGCGCGATCAATTAACGTCCCTGCAACGGATATGTTTATTGAGACGTTAACAGCGAAGGCGTTCTCGAGCGGGTAAACCGACACTTGATCATGAGCCAACGTGCGCGCCGTGCGTCCTCGAATGCTCGTTTGATGTGCAATCGACACTGCTTTTTTTACGCCTCTCGGCTTCACCCTCGCGATCGGAGCAATTACGACGTCAAAATGCGCCGAGTGCTTCGATCGGATCACGGGAGACCGCGTGGTATTAATCACGCGCTTCTCGCATCTGTGTGCTCCCCACACGGACGAAAATACCGCTGAGAAATGCGCTACATCCAAAAAAAGGAGAAATTACTCTATTTGATTTTTCTCATGGTCCCATATTTTCAGCGAGAAGCCTTTTATAGGAAAAGGATTCCTCTTTCGATGAAGAGATTAAAACGAAGCATTCGTGTAAAATGTATTAAATATTATTCTGTTTTCCTCTTATTCCAAGAGGATTTCCTCTTATGTTAATTAATTTCCCTCTTATATCAAGAGGAGCGCTTGTCGTTTTTCCTCTTCCATCTACTCTTCCATCTACTCACACAGAGACATTCTCTCTGTGCATATGATGATCGTTGCCACATTTATTTTATGGACAACGTTTAGAGCAAAGGAAAAAAGAAGAGAGAGGTCGTTATTCAGTTTGTGTTGTTTTTCCAGGTTGTTTCGTCATGAACGAAGTTCAAACATTTTTGCAGAAAATCAACTTAGAGACATACTGGCTCATATTTCAGCGTAAGTATGTACATGTGTCTATTTATCGTATCGCGTTGCGCACGCTACATTAAATGCCGCTTACTTAAAATTACAAATTTATATTTTTTCCTACCTTCTCAGCAGAAAGTGAAAAAAATTTAATTAGAATTTTTTCCGGACAGTTTTATAATAATTTTCTCTCCTTTCCCTGTGAAGGAACATATAATCAGTAAGAATAAAGTACAGTAAGAATAAATAATAATTCTCTTAAAAAATGATTAAATAATCTGTGCGTAAAAGAAAATTTATATTAAAATCAATAAGATTTGCATTATACATACAACATATAATTCCACCAACTTTAAGAATAATGCGTTCACAATATTTTCCTCTTAATTGTAGAGGAATCCTCTTGAAGTCGTACATAAGAATAAAATCCTCTAAAATTTAGATAATTCCGCTTGTTCTGAAATTACCTCTTTCGGGTATATTTTTCTGCGCGCAGCCGACACTTTTCTGTCAGCGACAAATAGTTCTCCAACGCAATGGAAAAAAAAAAGAAAAACCCGTGAATCGCCTGCGTGCGTGAGATTCTGCAGTGTCCCGGCGATCAGGAGGCGCCTGCACGTCCTGACGAGGATCTCTCGGTGAAAGAATATTTCGCAACATTTACGCGCGCGGGGGCGGGTCAAACACGCATTTAAATGCACGGCTCTTCGTGTCTGATCTAAATTGCATGGGCGAGTTACAGCAAGTTGGACGGATGAATTTTTGCATTAAGTCAAAGTTGAAGCAACCACCTGCCGCGAATACGCCGTCGCGACGGGAATGAAGAAAGTTCCCCCGGAGGCCGAGAGGCTGCGGATGCACTTGCAGCACTTACGGCGCTTGAATTCTGCCGGAAAGCCGGCCTCTCTGCGGCGCTTTGCATTTTCGCCTTACGGTCGTTCGCCGCAACGACGCCGACGACACGAGCGCATATACACGTGTAACTTTCCTTTATCGTCCACTCGTACGGCAGCCACACGACTTTTAGGCTCGAACAGCACAGCGACACTTTGCCGTGTCGCAACCACTGGAGCCGCGTTGAAGAATTAGTTCGCCCTTTCTGGACGATCTTCTCCCACGTTCCGACTTCGCGACTGTGCGGACGAATTTTACGCGCCCGCCGTCGGCAGCTTTCGTTGGTTTCGGAGATCCCACCGAGACACCGGATGAGATTTCGCCGATCAAATCAGTTTAGACTACGTTTTCCTCCGTCGTTTTCGATCCGCCGTCATTCTTCATTATTTTCCGCCACTCGTTGGTGACTTCACACGCGAGTCGCCGGAGGCAGCTGGGCGCGAGCGAGCCGCGCGCGTTCATCGTACGATATTAATTCCGCGATAATGATACAGATAAGCGCTCGAAAATGCATTAACGCGGCGATTGATCGCGCGCGCGCTGTCGATTGTAGAATTCAGCTGTTTATCGTCGCCAGCGCAATATTTTCTCTTCGCAGGCGAGCGCGGCTTCAACTATGAACTTTATGCATGGAGCGCGGTTTCCCGGCGAACTAAATGCAAAGACACGGGGAGGGAAAGAGGAGAGGGCGACCAGAGAGAACATGATATTTTCGGATTATATTAAAAAGTGCAGGGCGGGGCAGGAGTTTTATCCGCAAGATCGCGCGTAAG